CTGTTATTCCAATGGTAAAAAACAACATGTTCTTTACAGGATAATTGAGCCCTTACTTATAGTTATTACAAGACTCAGTATATTCACGAATGTTGGATATTTTTATAATAATTATATTCATCTGATTACAAAAATACATATTCACTTTTTCTATGAAATACTGTCCCCTCCTTCAGAACCGTATTTTCTCAGCATTTTTCCAAATAATCATCCATCCAAATCATTTAAACATGCACATATAACTTCATAATGTAGCTATAATAAAGATTTTTTAAATTTTATTTACTTATTTTATTAATGTGTTTTTATACAATCACTGTATATTATTACAGCATGCAAAATGAATTTTCCCAGCATGAATACACTGTATATTAGTCCCAGTAAAGATACTATCATATGTATGATCGTCAACAGATAATTTTCCATTTTTGTGTCTATTACATGTTTTTGGCTTCTTTTAATACAGATTTTTAAAAGCAATTTTTATATCAGTATGCAATTTATGGTTTACTCTTTGGTTGTTGCTAGACCACTGCCGTGCCCTTTGCATTTTCATATGTTTATAGAAGAAATTGTTGAGACTAAATCTATATTTCATTGCTCTGGATTGCCGGATATATGCACTTAAGCTACAAACTGAGAGACCTAGCAACATTTCCTTCCAAAAATCTTGGTTTGTTTTTGATTCATAGCTCACTGCCCCAAGCCATTAGGAAGGCTTGGTACTATCAGGGTTTTATTTTTTTTGTCTCTTTGCTAAATAAAAGTAATAAAATTAAAGTTATAATATTTTGCATTTTAGTTATTAGGGATGCAAGCTGCTTTTAATATACTCGATTATTTACATTTTATTTTAGTTGTCTTTTCATTCCCATTCTTTACTTTTACCTTCTATTAATTTTTTAGAACCTCTTTATTATGATATGTTTTGTTGTTTGTGTGGCAAATATTTTTTCACAGACTTTTTCTTTTGCTTATGGCTTATTTTTGTACATGGAAGTTTTTTTATCTTTTTTTAGTCAGATCTGTCAGGTACTTTCTTGACTGTTTATGAATTTATATTATTTTTTAAAAATTCTAATTCCTTGGGAACCAGCAGTTAGCGTAATGGCTATGTCGCTGGACTCCCACGTAGTCGACCGTGGTTTGCGTCCCGGACCCGGTGGCTTAAAACTCACGCTGGGCGCGTGTTCGTGCGTGCCCAAGATCCCGAGAGGAGAATGGAGGACAAGGGATTGTGGTGTGACCTTCTTCCCTGGGGGGTGATTTCTCACTTTCTGTCTCTATGTCTCTCTCTGTCTGTCTGGCGAGCACACGTGCCCTATAGCGAAAATCTCTCCAAAAAAATAAAAAGAAAAAAATTCTAATTCCAAAATCATAAAATAGTTCCCCATATTTTTTTTTAAATAGCTTATCCTTTTATACACTTAAATGTTTATCTCTTTGGAATTTAAGTCTATTATGAGAGAATGATGAAATTTCATTTTCTTCCAAATATATCGTCAAACTGCAATAGCTTCTTATTGAAAATCTCCAGAATTATTAGTCTTATTATTTATATCATTACCAATATTTAAGGCTTATAATAGTACAATGTTAAGTGTTTTTTACATATACATATTTTTAATTTTATGTGTCTATTTATTTTAATTTGACCAGAGAGGGGCAGAGTGAGAGAGAGAGGGGCGGATAGTGAGAAAGCAAGCCACCAGGTCCAGAACTCGAACCGCTGTCAGCCGGGAGTCCAGTGACCTTAACCACCGCACCACCTGCCAGTCCCTATATATATTATTTTTTTTAATTCCTGTAATTACCCATAGCTTGGAGAATGTAGTAACTTGTCAAAGATCATGCAACTAGAAAGTGATACAGGGGCCAGGTGGTGACCTAGCAGCAACGCACTGGACCCACATGGGAGAGGTCCTAGGTTCATGTCCTGAGATGCACCCCCTTCCCTCTCCTGAGTGGCATATCCATGTTCCAGCCAGCTGAGACTGGGTGTGTTTTACAGCATGAAGACCAGGTTGGGTGCCTGTCTGTAGGTCTTCCTATTTCTCTCAAGGAAAAAGATGAACTTTTAAGAAAAAGTGATAGAGTAAGGTGGTGTGGTAATTAAGGTGCTGGACTTCCACATAGCAGATGGTGGTTTGAGTCCCAGACCTAAAGGCTTGCTTTCTCACTTTCCCTATCTTTCTTTATCTTTGGTGAATTAAAAAGAACAATAATAATAATAAATAATTGATAAAATAATTCCTAAAAAAAAATATATAGTAGAGTCAGGAGTTTGGGCTTGGGTGTTGAAGAGCCTAGACCTGAACCTGCATCCCTACTCAGTTCAGTTTATGTGGGTTCCTCAAGTCTCGCAGTGTGTCAGCCTTCTATATTACAGTTCTCTGCATCCTGTTTAGGCTCCTTCCACCCAGATCTCCCCTAGTCCTTCCTTTCCCACCTGTGTCCTCTCCTGATGCATAGAGCGGGAGCATCCCTGTGCTCTATTTCTTGTGCTCTTCCTCACACCAGTGAGCACGGAGTGATGACTGATCTGCTAGGCGGTCTGGCAGAATGTAACAGACATGCCATGGAAGTCCAGAACTGAAATTTCTATTCTTACCAACCCAAGAAGAAGAATAACAGATGGACTATTACTTTGAACACAATTTTTAAAAAATCTATGTTGGGACCAGAAGATGGCATAATGGCTACATCACTGGACTCCCACGTAGTCAATTATGGTTCAAGTCCCAGATCCAGAGGCTTAAACTCATTCTGGGCATGTGTGCGTGCATGCCCAAGATCCTGAGAGGAGAACGGAGGAGAAGGGATTGTGGCGTGGCCATCCTCACTGGGGGGTGATTTCTCGCTTTCTGTTTCTCTGTCTCTCTCTCTTTCTGGCGAGCACATATGCCCTATAGCAAAAACCTCTCTCTCTCTCTCTCTCTCTCTCTCTCTCTCTATATATATATATATATATATGTATATGTCTATTATTAGTTGAATAATTTCTACATACCAAGCTCAATGATCACAATGAAATATTTCTAAAATTAAAATGGTATATGTTAGTGTTATTTTCAGAATGGAATCTCTAAATAATGTATATGTAAAATGTTCAGCCCTTCATAAGGAGTGACTGATAGGAAATTTTCTTCCAGTTTTCGAAAACATCTTACCTTTGAAAAACTGTTTATAATCTCTTCAAATATACTCTGTCCCTCTTCAATTTCTAGCTTTAGAATATGTGCCATGGAGGTCAGCAGGGGGTATAGTGTGGTTAAGGCACTGGACTCCTACATGGCCAACCATGGTTCAAGTCCAGGACCTGGTGGCCTGAAACTCACTCTGGGCACATGTGCGTGTGTGTTCAAGATCCCGGGAGGAGAATTAAGAAGAAGGGATTGTAGTGCGGCCATCCCCTCTGGGGGGTGATTTCTCAGTTTCCCTCTCACTAGCTTTCTCTGGTGAGCACACTCACCCTAAGGCCAAAACCTTAAAAAAAAAAAAAAAAAGTGTCATTAACATGAAAAGGGTGAAAGTAGCAGATTTTAGCAAACTTTGAAATAGAAACATGATTTGAATTTTATGGTACTGAAATGCTAGACTCAACTGCATTTATTTTCTAGAGAAAAAGCCCAAGTGAATTCTCTGTGCCTTCAGGTGCAGGCCTTTCCTTCCCTGAGCTTCTCTTGGTTTGGTGTCTCAGTCTTCAGGAACCAGTATTACCGTGGATATTGCCGTGATGGGCGAGGCTCACGGCCTCATCACCGACCTCCTGGCAGACCCTTCTCTGCCCCCGAATGTGTGCACGTCCTTGAGGGCCGTGAGCAACCTGCTCAGCACGCAGCTCACCTTCCAGGCCATCCACAAGCCCAGAGTCAGTACTCTCGCTTCCTGC